ACCTGCTCCCCAGGGAGGATAGAGGCCTTCCATGGGGGATCTTCAAAGTCTGTCATATCATTTGGAGCAGGGCCTAGACCCTCCTCGTGTGTCTAGGCTGAGAGAGTATCCCTCTATGTGGAATGGGCTCCAAAAGTCCATTCGTGTAGTAGGGATAAATACTGATCCACTACCAGAGGCCCCATAGATTAACCAGACCTTCCAACTGACACCCATGTTCAGAGGGTCTGGAAGAGTCCAATGCAGGTTTCCCAGATGTCAGTCTAGTGTCCATGAGCAACCCCTTGCTCAGGTGAGCTGTTTCTGTGGGTTTCTCCAGCCTGGTCTTGACCCCTTTGCTCATTACTCCTCCCTCTCTGCAACTGGATGCCAGAGTTCATCTCAGTGTTATCTGTGGGTGTCTGCTTCTGCTTCCATCAGCTACTGGATAAAGGCTCTAGGATAGCATATAAGGTAATCATCAATCTCATTATCAGGGAAGGGCATTTAAGATAGCCTCTTGACTATTGCTTAGATTGTTAATTGGGGTCATCCTTGTAGATTTCTGGACATTTCCCTAGTGCCAGATTTCTCTTTAAACCTATAATGGCTCCCTCTATTATGGTACCTTGCTCTCTTCTGTTCTCCTCCTGACTCATCCTTCCTGCTCCCTCATGTCCTCCTCTCCCCTCCTCTTCTCCTCTCCTCTTTCTCCTAACTCCCTCTCCCCTCCCCCATGCTCCCAATTAGCTCAGGAGATCTTATTCCTTTCCCTTTCTCCAGGGACCATGTATGTCTCTCTTAGAGTCCTCCTTGTTTCCTAGCTTCTCTGGCAGTGTGGATTGTAGGCTGGTAATCTTTTGCTCTATGTCTAAAATCCATATATGAGTGAGTAATACCATGTTTGCCTTTTTGTGACTGGGTTACCTTGCTCAGGATGGTTTCTTCTAGTTCCCATCCATTTGCCTGTGAATTTCAAGATTCCATTGTGTGTCTCTCTCCCCCCACACACACTGAGTAGTACTCCATTGTGCAAATGTACCACATTTTCTCTATCCATTCTTCAGTTGGCTGGCATCTCTCTTGCTTCCAGGTTCTGGCTATTACAAATAATGCTGCTATGAAAATGGTTGAACGGCTGTCCTTGTATGAATGTGCATCTTTTCACCCTAGAATTTTCTATAGATAAAATATAGTGCATACTTATTTTGTTATCTTTTATTCATTATAATAATTTTGAGATTCTTCCATGTCATCTGTCAATAGTATATACATACTAATATTTCCTTTTTGCTGCTAATACTGGGTAAGTAGAGCTGTCTTCCCCCCACCTCCGTGTGTGTGTGTGTGTGTGTGTGTGTGTGTGTGTGTGATATTCTAGAAATTAAGAAAGTCCTTCACATCTGCTAGGTTAGTGACCTCACACCTCTTATTTAGCTATATCCCAACTCTGATCACATGTTCTTTATCCATTCACTAGTTGGCATCCATTTGTTCCCAGTCTCTAGCTGACCCTTAATTCTAATGGCATTGTATTTATTAGTAAGGGGAGTTCTTTAAAAATGTACATTGAGTAGTAACTCTTACACATCAGAATTCATTTTCTTCTGACAATATGTTTAAACCCATCTCCTCCACCTTCACTCCTTTTCACCTTTACCCTCATAACAGCATTCAACTCCAGTTTAATAGTAGTTTGCAAGTTACTAGTAGTTAAGGAATGATGAAGGAATGGGTGATGAATTTTAAGCAGCTAGGATATAACTTTTTTTAGGAGTAACAAGAAGCAGGGGGAAGTGGGACAGAACAGGGTTTTTCTGGAAAAGATGAAAGGATAGGGATGTTGGGGAGAGGTGTCTTAAGAGAAGACAACTTAGCTGTGCTTATAGAAAAGAGCTAGCAGAGGGGATATTTGGAGGGAGAAGATCCTAAGAACAGATGTGGGAAATGACCAAGGAAGTACTTACTCCTCTAAAACACAAACCAAAGTCAATGCCCACATGTTTAGTCACACCTCCTATGTCTACGGTGTCTTACAGAAATCTTATGTAGTTATTTTTAGGCATCATTTGGGGGCTAGGGATGTATGTAACTCAATGGTACAGCACTCTTTTGCATACAAGAGTCCCTGGATTCAATCACCAGTACCACACATGCACACATACACTCCACGATAAGTAAGCCAATAGTTTCTATAGCATAAACTTTTATGATCAGTGACTAAATCATTGTTTTTTTCTTCTAGGCAGTAACTGCGGCATCTATGACCTTCTTCATCATTGCACAAGCCCCTGAACCATACATCGTTATCACTGGATTTGAATGCACCATTGCTTTCTTTTTCATATCTTTGTATATGTGCAGACTTGACAAAATGATGAGATGGTTGTTTTGGCCTTTGCTTGTAAGTGATCGGTTTCAACCTTAAATTCTTTCCTGCCATAGGAAGACTCTGTAATCAACTACTTGGTTCTCCTAAATCTAAGGTGATCTCTGCTCACTGCTGAGGGTTCCATGTTGTCCTTGGGGAAGGTTCTCAGGGATCCAGGGCAGCAATAGAACATAAACTCACTTTACTGCACCTACCAGTAGGTGTGTGGCTGACTTTATTTGGAGAATTCTTTTGAGTATCAGTGTTCTAAAGAAATTGAAATTTAGAACCATGTTGATAAATTGGAATGTATTCTTATCTTTTTCTTCCTTTCTTCTTTTTTTCTTTTTATTGAAAATATTCTTTTCTCATAGAATATATTCTGATAATAGTTTCCTCTACTTCCACTCCTCCTAGTTCCTTCCCATTTCCACTCCTAAACCACTATCTGTCTCTCATTATAAAAGAGCAGGCTTCTAAGAGATAACAACCAAACGTGACATAATAAATATGTTAAGAGGAAGCAAAAGCTAACATATCAAAGCTGAACATGGCAGCCCAACAGGAGGAAAAGAGCAGGCACAAGAGTCAGAAATCCATTCATTCTCATAGTTAAGAATCCCATAGAAAAATATTAAGCTAATAGCTATATAATATATGTACAGAGGACCAGGTGCTGACCCATGTAGGCCCCGTACTTTGCTGTTTCAGTCTCTGAGTTCATATACACCTACGTTGATTCAGAGGGCCTTATTCTCCTGGTTTCCTCCATCCCCTCTGGCTCTTAAAATCTTTCTGCTTCCTCTTCCATGGGATTGTCTGTAGGAGAGGGATTTGATAGAGACCTCCAATTTAGATTCTCTCTCTGCATAATGTCTGACCATGGGTCTCTGCATCTGTTTCCATCTGTTGCCAGAGGAAGCCATCTCTCTGATGATGACTGAATAAAGCATTAGCTTTTTTGTTGTTGTTGTTTTTTTTTTTTTTTAAGACAAGTAGTATTTGTTAGATACCCTAGGTCTCTGGGATAGCTAGTCTCAGGTTCTTGGTTACCCAAGCAGTGTGAGGTATGGGTTCCTTCTCGTGGAGTGGGTCTTAAGTCAAATCAGACATTGGTTGGCTACTCCCACATGTTCTGTGCCATCATTGCCCTAGCATATTTGTATGCAGAACGGATTGTAGATCAAAGGTTTCATGGGTGGGTTAGTGTCACATTCCTCTTTAGTTAGCCTGCAGAGTGCCTACCTTTCCACACCAAAGAAACTAGAACACAGGGGCGAAGGCACCAGCTCAACTTATCCCTATTCAATGAGTTGTGTGGTGTTGTCCTCATCAATGAGGTCTTGCTGTCAGTTTGCAGAGAACAGCCTGTTGTCTTAGCAATAGCCTGGGCTGTTTAGGGATTTCCATGGGACTCCCTTGTCTAATAACTCAATTGAATGCACCCTAGTCCTCACTTGGCTGTAAGAGATGGCCAGTGAGCCTCAGTATCCCCCATTACTAAGAGTCCTCATTAGGATCACCTTTAAAGATTCCAGGAAATTTCCATTGTATTAGGTTTCCATACTGCCCTTCAGCCCTGCCCCCACATTCCAGCCATCTCTCCCTGAACTATCTATCTCTTTCCACCCCACTCCCCCCCTACCTTCCCATTCCCATTCCCCCCAGACCACATCTCTTTGCTCAACTTCTCTGGGTCTACAGATTGAGGCTTGATTATCATTTACTTAAATTGCTAATACCCACTTATAAGTGAATACATACAATATTTATCTTTCTGAGTCTGGGTTATCTTACTCAGGATGATTTTTTTCTAGTTCCATCCTTTTACCCATAAATTTCATGATGCCATTTTTCAACAGCTGAGTGTAACTATACCAAATTTTCTTATACATTCTTCTGTTGAGGGACATCTAGGTTATTTCCAGTTTCTGATTATTATGATAAAACAACAATGGACATAATTGAGCAAGTGTCCTTATGGTAGGATGGAGTGTCCTTTGGGTATATGCCTAGGAGTAGTATAAGCTGAATCTTGAGGTATATAGATTCCCAATTTCTGAGGAACTGCCATATTGATTGCCAAAGTGGCTCTATAAATTTACACTCCCATCAGCTTGAGCTGTCACTTGTGTTTTTTATCTGAGCCATTCTGTGGGGTGTAAGATAGAATCTCAAAGTAGTGTTGATTTACATTTTCCTGATAGCTAAGAATGCTAAACATTTCTTTTAAGTGTTTTTTTAGCCATTTGAGATTCCTCTGTTGAGAATTCTCTATTTAGATCTGCTCCCTGTTTTTTAACTGTATTATTTGGGGTTTGTTTTTTATATGCCTAATTTCTTGAGTTCTTTATATATTTCGGATATTACCAACTCTACTCTATCAGAAGTAGAGTTGGTAAAATTGTTTTCCTGTCTGTAGGCTTTGTCCAGTTGATGGTGTCCTTTGTCTTACAGAAGCTTTTCAGTTTCATGAGGTCCCGTTTGTTGGTTGTTGATCTTAGTGCCTGCACTATCAGTGTTCTGTTCTGAAAGTTGTGTCCTGTGCCAATGCATTCAAGGCTATTCTCTTCTGTCAGGTTCAGTGTATTTAGTTTTATGTCAAGGTCTTTGATCCAATGGACTTGAGTTTTATACAGGATGATAAATGTGGGTCTATTTGCATTCTTTTACATACCTACATCCAGTTTGACCAGCACCATTTGTTGCAGATGTGTCTTTTCTCCAGTGTGTATTTCTGGCTTCTTTATGAAAGAATCAGGTGTCCATAGGTATCTGATTTTATCTCTGGATCTTTACTTTAATTCCATTGGTCAACATGTCTGTTTTTATGCCAATAGCATGTGATTTTTTTTATTACTATAGCTCAGTACTACAACTTGATATCCGGAATGGTGATGTCTCTAGCAGTTCTTTTATTGTTCAGGACTGTTTTAGCTATCCTGGGTCTTTTGTTTTCCATGTGAAGTTGGGCTTTGTCCTTTCAAGATCTGTAAAGTGTCTCGCCTATCTCGACCAGCAAGAGAAAGACGACCACGACTCTTCTTCAAGCAGTTTATTCAGGAACCTTGTACATTAGCTTCTCCTTCAGCTTCTGCATCAGCTTCTCCTCTTACTACTACTTCAGCTTCTGCTTCTCCCTCTATTAGCCCCCCCCCTCCCCCGCCGCAAGACCTTAAAAGCAAGCTCATTACCCAATTAACTCACGCCACCTGGCGATCCCGGCTAGGTCACAGCTGGAGGACGCACACCAGATCCACTAAGCGCTTCCAAATAAGGCTTGTTTACAGCTAGGTTCGGTCTCCCTGGCATCTAGCCAGGCGCCATCTTGGGGCTGTGGCTCCCCACAGTAAAGAATTGTGTTGGGGTTACGCTGTCTCTGGGTGCCAGGGTCTGTACTGAAACATGGCAGAGGTTGGGTCCAAGTCAGTGTTGTTCGTGTGTCTCAGTAACATTTGCTGGTCACCCATTGCAGTGTTCAGAAAATTGGTAACTGATGAAAATGTTTCAGATAATTGGAGGATAGGCAGTGGGGCTATATCCACCTATGAAGTGGGGAACCCCCCTGACTATCATGGGCAGAACTGCATGAGAAAACATGGCATCCCCATGAATCACATTGCACGGCAGATTACAAGAGAAAACTTTGTCACATTCAATTATATACTATGTATGGGTGAAAGCAATCTGAGAGATTTGAACAGAAAAAGTAATCAAGTTAAAAACTACAAAGCTAAAATTGAGCTTCCTGGGAGCTATGATCCACAGAAACAACTCATTATTGAAGATCCCTATTATGGCAATGATTCTGACTTCGAAGTGGTGTACCAGCAATGCCTCAGGTACTGCAAGGCCTTCCTGGAGAAGACTCATTAGAAGGTCCTGCCCACCACCATTGAGCAACTCACTCACCAGAGCCGTGCCCAAGGGTGGTGGCAGTCCTTAGCCCATACCCTACCAATCTTTTCTGCTGGCTTACTGTCCACCTTTAAAATAATTGTAGATGGAAATTAGGTATATGTTCAGAAGGATAAAAATATCCGAGTAAGACAGTTTGAGGTGAGGCTAAGCATTCTTAGACTAATTGAACCTCTCACCTTGCCCTAGTTACAAAATAGTGAAACAAGCAAATATAGAACAAAGTAGAACACAATAAAGTAAGAATGACCTACAAGGTTCAGGTCAGCCTCTGACCCCAGCTAGCCTGGGTGGCCTGGTCTAATTAGTGTGTGTGCATGACCAGCACCCAGTGGTGCCATTTGCTTGCCTTATACCTCTGTGCTAGACTCTTATCAGCCACTGAGGGCATTTAAATACTTGAAAGAGAGGAAGCTGAGTGTGATCATGAAGGCCTGCAATTCCAGCTGGCAATCCTGGGCCATACAGTGAAGACGGGAGCAACAGGTTGCACAAATTAGCATTTTTACTCTTGGTTTTTGTCTAGTGTTTTTGAGCTTTGTTCCTGTTTGAGCCACTTTACCTCTTTAAAAAAAAAGAGAAAAGATGTGCTTAAATAGTGGAATGTTTATAGTGTTCTTTCATCAACATTTTAAAGTTACAGGCAAGCATATGTAATTTAAGTGCATTTTCAGAAGGTGACCTCAGATTCATATGTCAGAAAAGAATTCAAGTTAAACTGGGACGTTAGCAAATATAACTGAAATTGAAAAAAAAAATTGTGTTGGAATTTTGACGGGGATTGCATTGAATCTGTAGAGTGCTTTTGGTGGGATGGCCATTTTTACTATGTGAATCCTACTGATCCAAGGACATGGGAGATCTTCCCATCTCTGATATCTTCTTCAATTTCTGTCTTTAAATATTTGTAGATTTTATCACGCAATTCTTCACTTACTTGGTTAGAGTTGCTGCAAGATATTTTATATTATTTGAGACTGTTGTGAAAGGTGTTATTTCCCTGATTTCTCTCTCAGTCCATTTGTCATTTGTATATAGGAGGGCTGCTGTTTTGTTTTATTTTGTTTTAGCTAATCCTTCATCCAGCCACTTGGCTTAAAAGTGTCTATCAGCTATAGGAGTTCCCTAGTACAAGTCTTAAGGTCACTTATATATACTGTCATATCATCTGAAAATACCTATACTTTGATTTCTTCCTTTCCAATTTGTATCTCGTGATCTCTTTCAGTTGTCTTATTGCTCTAACTAAAACTTCAAGTACATTTTGAACAGATACAGGGTGAACAACCTTGTCCTGTTCCTGATTTTAATGGAATTGCTTTGTGTTTTCTCCATTTATGATGTTTTGCCTCGTTTTTAAATGCATGTGGATATAGTTTCAGAACCAGGAGACAGAGACAGGCAAGAACAAGGAACTATCCTTGCCCATCCCTCATCACAAAATGGAAAGTCAAACTAAGAACATTCAATAAAATACGATTTGATCATACTTGAAAATTCTGTAGTCATTTGTGATAGCCTCAACTGATCTTACTGAACCATATTTTGTAACATTAGGCTTCAACTGCCAGACTCACAGCACTAGGAATGTTTGTCTGATCAAGTTCCCCAGTGGATACCAGAGCTGTCACAATAGACAAATGGAAATTATTAGTTGAGGTCTATATGACCCTTCAGCCAGGCACTACAGAGCCAGTTCCAGCAAAAACTAATCCACTGTTGGCTCTCTCTCCAGTCACATCCCAGTATCCTGTCTCCATGGGGTATCCCTTGTGTCCAACCCCCCTCCCCCCAGACTCTCCTTCACTTCTTTGGCTAGGCAAGTGGCAGCCACTTCCTCCTGTGCTGCACTTTTCATGTCTTGGATTCTGAAATGCTTACATTCAAGCTGCTACCTTCTATTAAACCAGAAGCATGCTTTTAATTACCTTCTGGGACCATCTTTGGAGGCTAGTACTGAGAACTTCAGGCTGGAGGTGTGTAATTCTGTTGGTAGAGTGCTTGCCAAGCATGAACAAAGCCCTGGGTTTGATCCCCTGTATAGCATAACCCAGGCATGTTAGCACACACCTATAATCAACATCTCAGGAGGTGAAGGTAGGAAGATCAGAGGTTAAAGTCATTCTTGGCTACACAGAGAGTGGAGGTCAGCCCTATCTTAAAATAATAATAGCATAATAAAAATTAAAAATAAACCCCAAACTAGAAGTGGTTCTCAAAGATTGGTTAATCTGTTATCATCAGTCATAAAAATGATAGAGACATGGAGTAAGGTTATAGGTGAAGAGAAAAGAGTTCTCTTACGGAGTTTCTAGTACTAGTGACTGGAAGCAACATCTTCTTTCTACACAACTATCAACATTGATGCCCTACTGGGGATTGTTCCCATGGCCTCTTGCATGCTAGGCAAATACTATACTGCTGAGCTATATATCTCCTTTAACTTTTTATTTTGAGATGAGGTCTCACTATGTTGCCCAAACTGGCCTTGAACTCAGTTTGTAGTCCATACTGGCCTTCAACTTTTACTCTTCCTGCCTCAGCCTCCCAAGTATAAATACCTACCTTGGGAGAATACCGAGGCAGAAGAACAGGCTAAGAAATGGGGCAGCGGATTAAAGAGTTAAATGGCCAGATTGTTGGATCTAACATCTGCAACACAGGAGGAGAAGCTACAGCTGAGGTTGGGAGTCAGTACCAAGAGCTGGTAACTGAGCTCACAGAGAACATAGGGAGTAGAGAGAAGTGGCCAGGAAAAGGCAGAAGAGGACCCAAGGGGCCCAGTGTCACAGACACCAGACAGGAAAGCATTTCATGACGAAAGGAATGGTAAGTCATGTCACATAGACAGAAAAGTTCTGGAATATGTAATCCTATGCCCCAGCAGCTGTGCTCATAGAAGGGCTTGGTGCGCTTTGTCCAGAGTGGATTGCTGTGAACGGCAGGTAATAGGAAGGTTATGAGACCAAGCACGAAAGGAGAGGCAGCTAATACTAGGGAAGCCACCACTGACCTAATTTCCTACTTCCTCAGGAAATCTGAGGGACAAAGGTAGTAACAATTGGGCTCCCACAGGATGGAGTAGTAAAGCTGCCAGAGGCTTTTACTACAATTAAAGTAAAGGAGACAGCAACTGAGGACCACAGCTGCTCTGTAGGGAGCAGAGGGGGATGCTAAACACTAATGCCCCACAACCAGTGCCCTCTGACTAGAAGACTGGTCATTGTCTGCCTTCAGATCTGTCATCCGTATCCTTGCCCTGACACAATCAGTAGTAGACCAGGCCTCTGTTCCTCTCTAGCATTCCTTGACAGATCATGAATGAAGGAGCCAACCCAGGGCTCTAAGGCTCAAAATTACTATGAAATCTCTGATTTTTTGTAATTAAATTTGCATTCTGTTTTAATAGCAAATTGAAAGTTTGTAGTTTTATATTTTTGTTTTGTGACAGGGTCTCGTTCAGCAGCCCTGCCTGTGCTAGAACTGACTCTGTAGACCATGCTGACTCAAACTCAGAGAGAGCTGCATGCCTCTGCCTCCTGAGTGCTGTGATTAAAGGTGTGTACTACTATGTCTGGCTGCATATTGAGCTTTCAATATAAAGACAGTGTTTTAAGTTGGGTGCAGTGGCTCACACCTGTGATCTTAGCATGCAGAAGACTGAATCAGGAGGTCTTTGAATTAGAGATCAGTCTAGGCTACATGATGACTACCAGACCAGCTTGGGCTATAGCCTGAAAATAACAAACACAATGTTCTGAATTTCCACTAGGAGCATAAATGTTCCAAGATAAGCATGCCCTCCCCTCCCAAAAAGCCTCCCCTTCTCATACCCCATGATTCTATGCACTCCCTGAAACACCTCTTTTATACAAAGCCATTTATAACCTAATTCACAGCTCTTAACAGCTGTCTGACTGAAGTAGTGTGGCCTGTTGCCTTGAAACAGCAAAGTGTCCAGCCAAAGGGGAGTTAACCCAAGACAACATCTCATTGTCTGCAGCAACTTTGTTTTCCTTCCTCAGAGCCAAACCTCTTTTTCTTTTTTAACTACTTTTCTTTTGGAATCTAATATTTCTTCATTAATTTCTTCCTGCCTACTTATTGCAAGTATGTATAGACCATTCCATGATAAAGATAATTTATTTTTCCGAAATACACATCCATCTAAAAATGTAAATTGCTCTTGTCAGAATGCTTCATTTGGGGAAATTATTAAATGAAATGACATAATTTGGCAAGCCGCTGTATTACAAATGTGGGTGGGGTTCATCCTGGAAATTACCACTCTAAGTATGTGCTGTTTTCAGTTTTGGAGGGGGTTGGGTTTTTTTTATAGGTTCTCACTCTGTAGCCCTGGCTGGCCTGGGACTCTGTGTAGAACAGACTGACCTCAACACTCCTGAGTGCTGAAATTAAAGGCATGACCCACCATGCCTGGCTTTAGTATTATTAACTGCACCTTAGTAACTGTTATTTGATAACCAATTATTCCACATTTCCTATTAAAAATATAAACATTCCAGCTTCCTAGGGGACCCTCCGTACTCTAAACCTTCTTCATATATCTACTTTTCCAAACCAGATGAGTTCTTCTTCTAGCTATGTCTATGTTAGGTGATATGTGTGTGTGTGTGTGTGTGTGTGTGTGTGTGTGTATGTATTATGTATGTATGTATGTTTGTTTGTATAAATGCTTAAATAAGTAAATGATTGATGTGTTATAATCTAGTGACCTAGTGACCCACTAGGTAGGTTGTAGAGCAAATAAATGGACATTATTTTACTGTAGCATTTAGTTTCCTAAAAAACATTGGTGTGTGCTAAATTGAATAAAATGTGGCTTTAAATTTTTTTAGGGAGTTTCCCCTACCTTTTTTAACACTACTTGGTCTTGTCTCCCCTAACCCCGTGATGCTAGGGATAAAACCCAGTACCTAGAGCCATGCTAGATGTGAGCTGTATTTCCAGCCGTGGTGGTCTTTGATAGCAAGCTGACTTTCCTGTTCTGTGTTTTTAGGATATTATTAACTCAATGGTGGCAATATTATTCATGCTTATTGTGTCTGTGTTTGCACTGATACCACAATCTTCAACATTGACAGCCCTTGGAGGGGTAAGTAGAGGGGGGTCTTTCAGGTTTCTTCAGGTTTGATCAAAATGCAAATTCATTTGGAAATATGATACAAGTACAGCAAGCTGCACTGTATTCATGCCAGGGGCTCTTGGACTGGTATACAGTGCTTACTGGCTTTATAGTTTGTATGATTAGATGCATTCCCTGATTAACATTAAGTAAGCAAGGCTTCATACTGGACTCAGCCAAATAAAGAGGTCTCTACATAATTCTTACAGGGCTGTACAGACTGAGAGAAGCTGCTAGAATCAGTTATAGCCCTTAGCTCCGAGAAACCTGATATTAAACAAAAAAAAAAGAAGAAGAAGAAAAGAAAAGAAAAAAAGAAATATGGTGGGTGGGTTTCCTAGTTCTTCTTTTAAAGGATTCATATTACTTGTTAGGTGAGACCAAATATTCCCATAAGGCTTCAGATGCAATATAATAGATTTCCTTACTGCAAGGGATGTGGTAGGAAACCTTGCAAACTAAAGGGTTATTCTGAGTACTGCTTACAGAGAAAGAAGCCAGCTTAGTCAGACTTGATCCTGACAAGCAAGCCAAATGAAAGAATTCAGTAATTTCATTATACTCCTCCTGGTAGTTTTCTGAGATTTGGTCTGACTTTTCTAGGCTCTTATGGAGAGAGCTGAATTAGAAAATTCTTCCTTCCTACTTTCTTGTTCCTTCTTAACAAGGGCTATATAGAACTGACCATGCTCTGCCATGTCTGTCAGAACCCTAGATTTCAGCTCCTCTAGGCACTAAGCAACTTCTTAAGAGATTATATAATTTTTCTAGAAATGAGGTATGCTGAAATACCAATCTCCAATTGTTTTAAAGACAATTTTATCTGTCTAGTACGAAAAAAGATGAGCCAGTCATAGGACTCAAATTTACTTACTGGTTTCTTCTTTCATTTACTCATTGCTTAAATGCTGAGAACATAGAACTGTTGTCCAGCACAGCAGCCAGTAGCCATGTGGCTACTGAGCGCAGGAAACGGGGCTAGTATGACTTGAAATAAACTCTGAATATAGAATATGCATTGAATTTCAAAGATGGAATTATCTCTGCAAAAGAACATAGAATATGTTGTTGGTAACTTTTATTATAGCAATGATCTGTAAAGCAATAATATTTTGGATGTGTTAAGCTACATAAATGTATTAAAATAAATTTCACCTTTTTTACCTTTTTAAATGAAACTCTTGGAAATCTTAATTATGTGGCTCACAATGGAGACTGTGCTTCAGGGTGGTCCTGAGCTGACCCATAAGGCTCAACTAGCCTCAGGTTGCTCAGAGCCTAACACAAGAGATGGAGTGTGGCCAGCAATAGATAAGCCACTAATGGAGTACTACCCAGCCCAGAAGAAAGGAAATAGCTATATCTGTCTGAATTGCGGTTTGCTTCATTTCCCTTTAGCTCAATTTTATTTCACTCAGGCCTGTCTAGCCTCCTATGCCTTACATGGACATTGCTCAGCCTTTGAGAGCTCACTGTGGAGCATCTCAGCACTCTAGTTCTACAAAACTTGTATCATAGCCATGGCCCCAGGACTTAATGTGCTCCCAGCACCAACCCTTTCCCCAGTCAAGTATGCTGATAGAAAAATCAAACAGCTGACCACTGGAGAGAGAAATCTTGGTTGATAGATAAATACAGTCAGTAGGGTTTTAAAGAATGTATACCAGAGCAAATCAAGAGGGATAGGCAACTTCCATTCCACCTCAGGGGTAGTTCTACTCACTACAATTATCTTTTCCTTACTGTGGGTAGATAGGAGAGAAACTTAGCAGTGATCTCTAAAGTCCCTTCCACTGTAGTATTGCATGGTAGCACAGAGAACAAGCTCTGTACCCTGGCAGGAAAGAAATGTAGTGGGCCCCCCACTAAGACTTTGTGTGACAGAAGCTGATGACAGTGTGTCTGTTTGCAGGTGTTTGGTCTCCTGACAACAGTATGTGCTATTGCTGACTCTGCCCTTATGTGCCGGAAACTTCTCTTTAATCCAAGTGGACCTTACCTGCAACGTTCTTCTACTCAGAGCAGAGAATAATTTGTATTCATTTTTACTAGTTATTAAACATATTTCTTTATTCTTTCATATATTGTCTGCAGTTCTCTTTTTTTTTTTTAATTTCAGTGTGTGTGCTGGCGAGTTTTATGTCAGTTTGACCCAAGCTAGAGTCCTTCAGAAAGAGGGAACCGCAATTGACAAAATGTTCCAGATTGGCAGGCCTCTGATGTTTATCTTGATTGATAAGTGATGTGGGAGGACCCAGCTCTCTGCCCTGGATGCTGTAAGAAAGCAGGCTGAGCAAACCAGTATGCAGCACTCCTCCATGGCCTCTGCGTCAGCTGTTGCCTCCAGGTTCCTGCCTTGACTTCATGTCCTGACTTCCCTGGATGATGGTCCTCAAGCTACAAGATGAAATAAACCCTTTCCTCCCCGAGTTGCTTTTGGTCATGCTGTTTTATCACAAACCCTTAGGTGATGTGGGAGCTTGACAGATTTTTGCACCTGCACTCTGCTGGCAGCCTTACTGTATATGGCTCAGAGCTGGATCTGGCCAAGCGTACCCCTAAATGACTCAAGAACCTCTTTCCCCTGGGTTGGCTGGCAGCAGCTCCAGTGGGTGCCATTGATGGGTTTTGAGTTTACAGACTAGGCAGTGTCTTTTCCCAAGATCACCACAAGGATACCATACTGCTAGGCTAGGCCGCAGCCATCAAGAGCAGGTGCACGCGGGATAGGCTGCTAGCAGCCGTTGACGTTGGTTTCCCAGGGGACAGGCGGGCGCCGGATGGAGTAACACTGCCAGCCTGACAGTCGGGCTTGGGATGCACCATGAATCCTGCATACACCGGGCGTGAGTCCAGGCGTGATTCCAGATTTGATACCAGCTACCCTCCCAGCCGCGCATCATTACAGTCTCAATTCGAGTATCCTCACTCACGCTCTGAGTCACTGGCATCTATCAGCTCTGCTGCATCTCGCAAGGGACCTCCACCGAGCGCCACACCATCTATTCGGTCTATACAGTCAGTGTTCAAAGAACAGATTGCCCGCAAAGTACTACCAAAGAAGTTCACCCAGAGCCAAAAGGCACCACTGCCCCCACATCTCCAGGGACATGCATCAATCAAAGGACGCCCTGAGGGCCTGGCCAAGGTCCCAGAAAGAGTCAGAGACAGCTTCAAGAATTTTTTCTTCTCACCCACTGGAATGTTGAAGGTCTTGAGGATGGTGAGCAGAAGCTGCCCAGCTGGATGAATGGGTGGAGGGAGGGCGGTGGCCTCCAGAGTTGAGTGCAAAGATGCTGGTGGACCAAGGTCTCCGAAATTCCCTTTACTACAGTTGTCTGCCCCCTTTCTTGTTGCCAACACATTTTTTTTTTTTTTGAGACAGTGTATCACTAATATAGCCCTAGCAGCCTGGAGCTTACTATGTCAACCTGGGTGGCCTTGAACTCATAGAGGTCTGCCTGCCTCTGCCTCCAGAGTGCTGGAACTAAATGCTGGTGCCACCACGGGCCCATTATCACACAATTCTCAGGACTAAATTGGCGAGCTTTTCCCCTCACCTCTTTTTTCTAGGGTTTCCCCTCACAAATGAAAGTAGAAAAATAGTGAGCAATTAGCAGAAAGTTGTAAATTATCTAACATAACTGGTAAGAACTGCCATCTAAAAGACCTATTCAAACAATACACAGCAGGCACGAATCTAGGGAAAATGGAAAAGAGGACATAGAAGTAATGTGAGACCAGGGGAATGCTCCACTTAACAGGAAAGGACCTGCTGATAGGGGCGTAAAATATCTGGGAATGAAAGTTCAATGACCCAAACTGACACCCAAATCGAGAAATTCAAATGGAACACCACATAAAAGCAGAGGAAAAGCAAGATACCTCTAAGGTGGCTCTGTGTGTAAATGCTGCTGTGGCCAATCTTGAAGACCAGACTTCAATTCCCAGAACTCAACGTGGTGGAAGGAGAGGAACATGACCTTCACATGCAGCCTCTCCCCCACCTAATACACAAACATAAGCAAATGGGCTTTTGAATTATAAAAGTGAATCAAACCAGACATGTTTAGGGCTAGCTCTTTCAGATCATGAGATGTCATTTTGATGATGTTCAAGCTTTTTTAAGAAGCAAGCATTTTTGGGACGATTTCTTTTTTTCTGATGACTGAATCCAGGGCCTTGCACTTTCCAGACAACCAGTGAGCTGAATCCACATCCCAATCTGAGCAATTATTTTACAAAATCAGTCTTAACATTGACATCAAGACTTGATCAGGTTTAGAAGAAGCAAACAAAATAGAGGTTTCAGAGCACCAAAGCAAAGATTAGTGTTCAGGCCTAGGGTGCATAGCAAGTGCGAGTTCCTGGAATGGCTCCCCAGAACAGAAAAAGTGTTACCATATTAACAGAAAATATTCATCTGATTTTTAAAACATATACCACAAAAAGGAAACACAAGGATGATTTGCTACTAGAACTCTTTATATTATAAAGGAAAGGTTATGAGATTAAATCAAATAGTGTTTAAGAACATATAAAAAACTTGAACATTTGTTTCTGGTTCCCAGACAGGAAGAAGAGGAAAAGGAAAAGACCTGTAAAATAAGAATAGAGATTCCATTGATGTTATAAAACTAAACATCTTTACCCTCAAATCAGCAAGATCTTTAGTTAAAGTATCACAAGAATTCTTATTAAAATGAAGAAGAAAAATGATACCTGCCAACATTTGTGAGGGCTTTTCTGGAATCACTAATCATAATTAAGGGAAAGAAATAAAAATACTTAAAAAGAGGCAAAATATATTTCCTTCCACTGATATGATTATAAAATTTCAATCTACTGGGAGACCATTTAGAGCAAGATACTTTGGCTGGCTGGAAATCAAATTAATATACTAAGAAACTTTCCATAAATAACTAAAATGTAAGAAGCCAAGCTTAGTGATACACTCCTTTAATCTTAGCATTTGGGAGGCAGAGGCAGGCAGATCTCTGAGTTCTAGGCCAGCCTGGTCTACATAGCAAGTTCCAGGACAGTCAGAGCTACATAGTGAGATACTTTCTCAAAAACATAATAAAAAGAAAATGTTTCTCTTCACTACAGCCATCAGAATGATCAATATTGGGCAAAGAAGTAAAAATAAAAACCTATAAGAGGAAAACTTTACAGAGGGAAAACACACCAAAACAACAATTTGTTACTAAAAGTTAGATGAAATCCCAATTAAAATGCCAAGACAATCATGGATATCATGAACAGTCTGAAAATGAAACCTTAGAGAACTGGATCAAACAGTAGTGTGATACAAGTGAGCCACCCTGCCATTTGAAAAGCACTCTGGAGGCCAGAGAGATGACTCAGCAGTTACAATCACTTGCTGCTCTAACCAGGTTGTGTCCAGCACCCAGGTCAGTTGGATCACAATCCCCTTTAACTCCAGCTCCAGGGATCTGACATTCTCTAAGTACATTATCCTCAACACACTCAACACACACACACACACACACACACACACACACACACACTAAAAAGAAAATCATTTAAAATTTATAACTCAATGAGAGAATAGACTCAAAAAAGACACAAATACATCTGAGAATTTAGTATTTAACAAAGATTACATTTTTGGTCTTTGGGGGGAAATCCTAGCATTCTCCCAGTGAATGACTGATGTAATCAACTGGACAGAAAGAAAATTGGTTCTAACTCACTATTTCTGTCAAAATCATCATCTGTTTATTTAACCAATATAAACTTGGATTTCCTTCTAGAAATACAAACCAGTAGTAGTGATTTCTTTTCAGAAAACAGACTATCTAGGAGTGTAGACACATGCCTTTATTCCCAGCACTCAGGAGGCAAAGGCAGACTTTTTTGAGTTTGAGGTCAGCTTGTAATGCATGGTGAGTTTCAGGCCAGCCAGAGCTGCATAATGAGAGCCTATCTGAAAAAATGAAACAGAAAGAGACTAGGTTTGGATAGAGAAGAAGAAAGATGTTTAAAAACTTTTCTATGTTCAATCTTTATTTACATATTTAACTTCAAAAAAAATACTTTTAAGTAGATCTGGGAATGTAGCTCTCAGTAGTAGAGTGTTTGCCTAGCATGATGAAGGCCCTGGGTTTGATCTCTAGCAATGAAAACAACAATTAGTTCATTAAAAATTTAAAAATACAAGCTAGGAATGTAACTTGGTGGTAGCATCTTTTCCTGGCATATGCCGGGCCCTGAGCTCAATCCTCAGTGCTACAAAAAATTGGTTAATTTCACTGGGTAGTGGTAGTGCAGTCTTTAATCCTAGCGCTTGGGAGGCATAGGCAGTCAGATCTCTGTGAGTTTGAGACCAGCCTGGTCTACAAGAGCAAGTTCCAGGACAGGCTCCAAAGCTACACGGAGAAACCCTGTCTGGAAAAGAAAAAAAATTAGTTAATTTAAAGCAATGTTAAAAATAAAATATTTGTGGAAAACATTACAGGCATGGGCTGGAAAGATGACTCTAAACAAAAGTTTGCTGCATAGGCCTGACCTCCTGAGTCAGGCCTCAGATCCCATTCAGAAGCTGGATGAGGTGGGATGCAGTCTGCAATCCTTGAATTCCTGCAGTGAAATGGGAAGCAGAGACAGGAGAGTAGGCCTGAGTACACACATAGCAGTAAACAGCGAGAGGCCCTGTCTCAAACCTGTTACCCGAGATTGACCTCTGATTGCTACATGCGTACCATAATACATTCACTTGTATACACACACATAAACTTGTATACACACACACACACACACACACACACACACACACACACACACACACACACTCACACACTTTTTTAAGATACAGGCTACTGCAGTATAATCAAATTAAATGTAACAAATTCTGCCAGTTAATATGTGTTACTGGTAAACAGCTACATGCATTTAACAAGCCTGTTCTTTTCTTGCAGTGTGTTATTGCAGCATCGGTGTTTTGTTTCATCATTGGCGGCGCCCATAAGGTGTTTATAGCAATCACGATTGAGGAAACCTGCATTGTCCTATTTTTTATCGTAATATATTTGCTAACCCTTCAACACTGGCTGACCTGTGTAAACTGGCCATTACTTGTAAGTGTTCATTTTCTTAATTCAAATGTAAGCTTTGCCCACAACCCCAAGAGTAAGCCTGCCCTCACTTTCCTCCAGGGAAGACAAAAGAGCTCTCTAGACAAATGCATAGCAAAACTGTGACAGTATTGTCCTCCCAGGGGAGAAACCACCCAAAACCTGGAAAGGTCCCTTGAACTCCTCTGTCTTCAGGGCAGCCTCCTGCTTTTAGCAGAGAGTGCAGAGTCCATCTCAAAGGGTTTGTCAGATTGAACACATACATGTTTTCACCTTATCCTAATGAAGACTAGAGTTGCTTGTAAAAAAGTGTATGCTCCTGCTTTTCAAACAGTGTCACCCACATAGATTTACAACCCACCCCAACAAGAGTTGGCATAACAGAGTTGTGGAAAATCTTTGAAAAAATTCTTACAGGTTGTTGGACGATTGTATTCGTGTAGGTTTAGGAGCCACAGTCTTGAAGGGTGGGGTATCCAGGAAAGGATACTGTGAGGCTTTTTCCACAGTTTCTTAGCCAATTGAAAATTCCTGAAGCCAGTCTTAGAGGCTCCCAGCTCTCTTGAGAGGCAAAATGGTTTTGTCCAGTGACCAACGTAAGTCCAGTCTCTTGCCTGGAAACTTCCTTACTAGCTCTGTGACCTTTATATTTTCAGAGGGTGAGATAAGGCTTTGCTATATAGAGCAAGCTAGACTTGAACTCACAAGCTAACTTAGGCTGATCTTAAAAATAACATCCTCCTGCCTTAGCCTCCTGAGTACTGGGATTACAAGCATTTATCATCAGACTCCTAAAACCCTCTAGCTTCAGTTTCCCCATCTAGGAAATGAAGAAAGGGGAAGTGTGAAGAGGAGTCCCTACCTCATAGGCTTTCTGTAACATTGGAATGCATATAGATATGGTGTAGTACTTAGAACACTCAGTACACGGTATCCAGAAAAGGAAAACAAGCTGGTATTTAGATAGCTTTGGCCATTCTCTCTTATACTGTGAACAATCCTGACATGGTTCCTGTCTCTTCCACATCTCACTTCCTTTAAGTGGTAATGGGAATTGAATCTAAGGCTTGTGCACGCCATGCAAGTACCCTACTTTTCTCTCTTTTAAGACTCATGTCTCTGAATATTTTTGTATACCTGTGTCAAAGCACACTGCAAACATGTCTGGTGCTCATAGAAGACAGAAGAGGGTGCCAGATTCCATGGAACTCTAATTATAGTCAATTGTAAGTTACCACATGGATGCTATGCTCCCAAGCCAGGCCTCAGTTCCTTACAGTACACCTTTTTTCTAACTTAAAGCAGGGTGGGTTGCTAGTGAGCTAGATATCAGATGTTTTCTTCAATTATATGAGGGTTTATAAAGAGGCTGCTGAGCTGTGTCTATCCCACAAAGTAACAAACCTCAGAATACTGGCAAAACTGTACAGCTTTCAATGGCTGTATGGAAGACCCTTAGTTTGGGGAACTATTAACTACCAAAAGGTTTCTGAGGGGAAACTAAAATCTCTGTGGCAGTTTTCAAGGGCATTTCTAAGCACTTGGCATGCCCCAGACACCTCTTTATGTTTTGTTTAGTTGTTCCTTCGACCATCCAGTGGGGCTGTGGTCATATGCCATTTCCTACTTCCCAGATGAGAGGGACAATTGGAATGAGAAGATGAAGTTGCCCATAGCCACATGTAGGTTTCATTGGAACTCAAGCTTAAGTCCAGGCTCTCCACAGGTTTTCTCATCTTGAAGCAGTTTCTCCAGCCCAAACCGCCTCAGTGAAGCCACATGCCTATACCTTCCTCATGTTCTCTGACTTCCTAGTGATTTTCTCACCAGGTGAAGCCACTACCCTGATGGGTGTATACAGGTGTGAGTGACTCATTAGGAACTCATGAAGCCTGGAGTGACTGCCATATAATCTACTTGGGTACCATGCCAAGACCTTATTTAAAAAAAAAAAAAACTCTTTTAAAGGATTTTTACTTTTTATTTTATTTATGTGTATGCATGGTTTTGGGGAGGCAGGTGCACAAGTGTATGAGTGCCCATGGAGACCGAAAGAGGGTGTTGACTGAGTGCCCCTGGAGCCATTTTGAACTGCCCAACATGGGTTCTGGGAACTGAACTCAGGTCTTCTGCTGAGCCATCTCTCCAGCCCCCAATAGAGGAAAGGTTAAAGAGAGCTATGAGACCCCAAGCCCCACTGTAAGGTATATAGGAAATATCCAGGAAGTAACCCAGACAGGGTGGCTAGCAAGCAGCTCTTGAGCATGGGCTGCCTACAAGAGGACCTCTGCTCACAGCGGTCACAGGAAGCTTGGGCCAGCTCTTATACTCACAGGCCTTTGATCAACTCCAGAACGGCTCTTCTTGCCACAGCCATCTGATGGGAAAAGCCCTCTCTTCTCTGAAGACAGCTGTGAGAGTCCTAAGTGGGATTCAGAGACCCTGTACTTTTTTCCTGCTATTGTTCTCCAGGGCATGGGCCAGTGTCTGGCACAACATCTGGAATTTACCTAATGAGTTCCTAAAAGCCTAATGGGGAAACTGGATGACTAAGGCTGCCCAGGTATTGATGTTTTCAACTCACAAGTTGTATGCATAATAAACCACCACACAGTTGTACAGGTGGGGAATGCCCTAACAGACTTGAAGTCGTTTTTTAACCCTTCAAAATAGGACCCAACTTCTTGCCTCTTATCCTTTCTCTTCCTTTCTAGCCTTCCCCTTTTGGTTCCCACAAATGAAGGACTTATGGCACTTTGATGCAACTAGCTGCGATTGGGTAGTAATGGGAGAGTCCCTTGTCTGGCAGGGAATGTACCAGTTTAGTGAGGGTATTGGTGCTGGGTGAAGACCTACGTGGCAGCAGGAGGATGGACTTGGAGATGTGATGGCATGAAGTTGCAGGAGTCGTGGGATCAATCACAAAGCAGGTGGGGAAGCCAGCAGAACTGCTGGACTCTGCACAGTCTAGAGGTACCAATGTGCATGGGGCCACCTCCTTTCAGCCTTTCTTTCCAGACAAAGTTACTTGGTTCTCAAAATGTATAGGATGAAGGTAAGCGGTGATTTCTAATTTAAAGGCCCATACAAGCATAAAGTCCCTTACCTCCCATTCTTATTCTTGTTTGACAATGAGCTGGGGGTGGGGCTAGAGATGTAGCTCAGTCAGGATAGCCTTGCCTAGCATTCACAAGGCCTTTGGTTTGATCTGCAGCACTACATAAACTTGGTGTGGTGGCATACACCTGTCATCCCAGCACTCGGGAGGCAGAGGCAGGCCGATCTCTGTGAGTCTGAGGCCAGCCTGGTCTACAAATCAAGTTCCAGGACTGCCTCCAAAGCTACAGAGAAACCCTGTCTCAAAAACAGAACAAAAACTTCAAATACCAAAGTCAGTGTCTCATGTACCTCAGCGACATGAGTCACCGACTGGGAGTAAGAAAAAAACAAAACAAAACAAAACAAAACAACAAACAAAAACCACTGAGGGTGAAGGTCACCACCCATCAGGGACACAGAACAGCTAATACATTAGGTGTTTTCCCCCAACTGACCCCTCGACACACACACACACACACACACACACACACACACACACACACACACGATCAGCTTCAACGAGGATTATTTCAGATTATTTTCTTTATTGTATTTTGCCTGAGCCACCTTCTCTGATAAATAATGCAGCCTGGACTTGGGATTCCAAGGTTTCTGGTCAGGAGCTCCTTGGAAGTCTATGCTGGGGACTCTATACTATGAGGAGGTGCAAGTTGGGCTATCAACCTCGAACATCTGTAGACTATGACTCTGTATCACATTCCCCATGGCTCTCCTTTTCCTCTGCTGGCATCACTGTCTCCAGTTTCAGGGGGTTTTTTTGTTGGTTTTTGGTTTTTTTTGTTTTTTTTTACTTCATCTAACATATTCTCATGTCATCTGCCAATATACCTAAGAAAATCATGAATTCTAACTATTGTAAAGCCAGGGGTTCTGGTGACATGTGTAATCCCAGTCCTGGAGAAGCTAGTATAGATGGGTTGTGATTTCAAGGCCCACCTGGGCTACATGGCTACCTCAAATAAGCAAACAAAAACTCTCCTTGATGAACAGCATGTATTTCAACACTTCTATGTATTACTAGTATGGTCAGAGAAATTGAGTTCTGGTCAAGAAGAGATACTTTCCAGCAGAAAGAGCTTTTGGGGTTGTTGTTTTTTATTGGCAGGTGCACAGTTCAAAGGATGACTTTCTGAAATCCGCTCTCTCCTTCCATCATGAGTTAAAGAATCACACATATGCTGTCAGACTTAAGAAGCAAATGCTTTGCCCACTGAGCCATCTCACCCAGCCTTTGTTTTTATGGTAGGCTTTCCCTGCATAGCCCAGGTCAGCCTCAAGCCTGAGTCCCTCCTTCAGCCTCCTGAGTGCTACACAGTGTCAAGCATACACAGACACCTGGCTTAAAAAGAGCTCTTTGTACATAATAAACACACTCTAACCTGAAACTCTAGAGTGGTGATGACTCTGAAAGTACCAGGGGACTCTTTACATGCTCAGGTGACAATAGCCATGTGAGAAGGTCTCCTCAACTTCATACTCAAGTTAATGGAAAACAATTATTCGGGTGACTTTTGGACAGCCTATATTGTGTGTTGGGGGAACAAAATGTGCAGTTAGTTCATGATCGGATGCCATTCAGTGTTTACAAACCCCTACTTAAAATGCCATGGTTTTGTTTTGTTTTTTTAAATAAAAGTAATTATTTTATTTTTAATTTTTTAAATATTTATTTATTTATCATGTATACAGTGTTCTCCTTGCATGTATGCCTGCACACCAGAAGAGGGCAGCAGGTCTCATTACAGATGGCTGTGAGCCACCATGTGATTGTTGGGAATTGAACTCAGGACCTCTGGAAGAGCAGCCAGGGCTTTTAACCTCTGAACCATCTCTCCAGCCCCTAAAATTCCATGTTTTATGAGTTAAATTTTATTTGAATTTTTTCTAATATTCAGAAAATCTAATTGTAATTTTCAATCTTTTGTTGTTGCTGTTGTTGTTTGTTTTTTGAGACAGGGTCTCACTATGTTCCCTTGGCTGTTCCAGAACTCCCTATATAGAACAAGCTGGCCTCAAACTCACATAGATCAGTCAGCCTCTATCTCCGAGTGCTGCAATGAATGGTGTGAGCCATCATGCCTGGGAGCATTCAATCTTAAAGCACATAGTTTTCTTTTTTTTTTTTTTTCTCTTGATGTCTTCTAGATAGAGTCTCAGGTATATAGCTCAGGCTAGTCTTGAGCTTACTATCTAGCCAAGGATGACTCCTGATCCTTTCATCCCACCTTCTGTGTGCTGGGGTTACAGGTGCACATCACTATGCCCAGCAATTAAAAGTATATTTTTCTTTGCTAGCTATAGTTGTAGTTTTGGACATCTCAAAATTATGGCGAGCTTTGTGGCAAATGATAGTCAAGTAGAACATTTGTCTCACTTTAGTGAGAGGATAGAATCTGAGTCTTTGTGGCATTTAGAAGAAAGAATGAGAAGCGATGGCATTCCTGGGGAAGGGAGAGGCCCCTCTGTGCATAGCCAGGTGCAGTGGCCACTTCAGCCCAGCTACATAGGATGGCATTTCTCACCATGTCCAGAAGAGACAGACAGGAGAGTCTGTAAAAAGAGATGAAAGAAAAGGAGGGAAGGAAAGAAAAAGAGAAAGAAAGATGACCATGGACATCACACTGCTGAGAATCCTAACCACTGCCTGGGTGAACAATCCTTTAACAAGTTGACACAAACTGGGGATAGTATTAGTCTGTTGTGAGAATCGAATGAGTTCTCATATTTATACCTTGGTCCAGTACATGGCACATAGTAAGTGCTCAATAAATGTGAGCTAGCAGAAGCTAGCTAAAGAAGCTGAGGCAAAGCACAGCTCCTGAGAGACATCTCAGGAGCTAACTCTATTGTGGTCAGGAACCAGAGCCAAGCATGGTGAGCAGTATTCTAATGCAATAAAATTATGACAGTGACAAAGATTAGCTTGGTCTATTCATTATTGCATTGTTATTAATATGCTTTGGTCCAAATTCTCAATGATCTAGAACCTTAACTACCTCATTTTGGCTTCTAAAATTTAGTGTTAGCATTGTTTTTGTTTTGGTTGTTTTTTGTTGTTTGTTTTGTTTGTTTGTTTGTTTTGGGCAGAGTCTCACTCTATAGCTCAGGCCGGCCTTTAACTTGAAGTGATCCTCCTACCTCAGCTTCCTCGGTGCTTTATATCTGTTTCTCAAATTCTCATTCACATCTCTGAGTATCTTGTTTTATACAATCATGAGGTACAAAGATTCCCATAAAGCTTTGAACCCCTCTCTAACCTCAGCTGATCGATCTACTGTGGTCAGACCTCTATGTGAGCCAGCAGAATCCAGTTCAGACTTATCTCTCAGCAGTCTTGCACTATGGCCTCATGCCAATGTTGACCAACAGTAAAGACATCAGTGCCTTACCAGAGGCACAGTATGTAATGTTTCAGATTCAGTGCCATTTAATCCTAAAATCAATCAATCCCAATCATGATCCCCATGTTAAAAAAAATTAGCAGGCTGGCAGTGGGGCAATAAAAAAAAAAGACCCCAGGTCCCTCATCTAAGAATCAACAGTCAAAGACCTCAGTAACAAAAACACTTATTTGTACCACATCACGTGAACTCTCCAGAAAGCTTCCACAGATAATGATGGAAATGGATTGGATGCTGCATTTGCAGTCTAAGGTAATAGACAGCTCATAACTTCTTTCCTGTGTGTGCTCCTGATGAGAGTCAATAATGAGTTGAGTTCTGACTCCTCTCCTTAGCAGTTGTTCAATCTTAAATAACTTAGTAATCTTCTCTAAGATGGCTACTGCATTCTCTGTGGACTAGCAAGTCTTTCAAGAGCTTCTTTGGGATTGTTAAACAAGATAGTCTAGGAATTGCTTAGCACATTGAAGGCAGCCGTTAAGGTCATCATAGTTGCTTACACTGAATGACCAGGCTTCTTTCTACTTTAGGTTCATACCCCAGAGAGGCCAGCATCACCACCAGTTAAGCCATCAAGAATGTGGTGAGGAGATAGTTCATTTGGTAAAGTGATAGCCTTGCAAGCATGAGAGCCTGAGTTCAATTTCCAGAACCCATGGAGAAAAACAAAACAAAAGAAACAGACAAACTTGTAATCTCTGAATTGGGGACACAGGAAGATCCTTGGGTACTCTCTGGCCAGATGGTCTAGCCTACTTGAAAAGGTGAGGGCTAGTGAGATGGCTCAGGGTGCCTGCCACCAATCCCGATGACCTGAATTCAATCCCTGGGGTTCACAAGATGGGAAGAGAAAACCAACTCCCAAAAGTTGTCCTCTAACCTCAATACACATGTGTGTCATGTACATCCCTTCCCTACCACACACAGAGACACACAATAAATAAAATGTAACTAAAGATAAAAATATAAGATCAACAGCTCCTGAGGAATTACACCCAAGGTTGTCCTCTAGTACATGTATGTGGGACAGGGACACACACAAACACATAGGACTTAGAATGCTCCAATTATATACTTGATCAAATCATGGTTTTTATTTGTTTTTTGTTTTATTTTTAACCCTAGGCTTTGGCTCTGTCCATACACTGGTACAACTGACTCCATCACTGCTCTACAATCAACATGTATTGTCCCACTCTAAGAGAAATCCATCCCATCAATGATCACCCTTCCAATACACAGTCAGGCTGACCTGTAGTTGAAGGGCCTATAACCAAAACCCAGAACAAAAGACAGAAGAACTTAAAGACATCAGGCTGATTTAATTCTGGCCTTGCCTCAGACTCCATTTTCTGGAATGAATGACTATGCTCTTCAGATGGATTTGTGTGTTCTCAGCACACATGACAACACAAAAAATAGAACCCAGCTTCCAGAGCATTAGTTATTACCTGTGGATTTAGAAGACATATTAAGAGAATGAGCTACTAATACAATATGTATCACCCAAACCCTTATATTTACATATATTAAATAAGTTATGGGATAAAATGAATAATTCACATTAAAATATAAAACTGGAAAAAAGTCATGTTATGAAGGGCCAATTTTGGCCACTCTGGAACACAGAATCCAGAATTGCCATACCGTTTAAAAAAAAGCCAATTGAAGGGGATGGAGAGATGGCTCAGTAGTTAAGAATGGGTACTGCTCCCACAGAGGACCTAGTTCAATTCCCAGCACCCACATAGGACAGCTCACAAGCACCCATAAACCTGGCTCAATCCAACACATTCTTCTGGACACTGGGGGTACCTCACTTGTGCGAATACCCACATATACTCTCTCTCTCTCTCTCTCTCTCTCTCTCTCTCTCTCTCTCTCTCTCTCTCACGGACATGTTAACATCCCTAATGATGTTCTAATGAAATCAAACATATTTCTACAAAGTCCTATCCAAGATTTTAAAATCACATAAATTCAAATGTCTGAAAAATTTCAGAGGTTTGAAGGCCTCTGTCAATCAAAGAGAAAGTATTCAAAAGGTGTCCACCCTTAGATGGGTAAATGACAAGTTTAAATATTTTGAAATTACATTCTCCCATTTACAGTTGACCAATTTCAATTCTGCGTTTCAGGATTTTATCAACAGTTTCATTTCAACTGTGTTCCTTGGAGGAGTTGCCCTGATAATATTTCAAGAAAAAGAAAGAAAGCGTTTGCACTATGTTGGAGGGGTAAGTAGAGGCCTCCATGGTTCTATTTAACATTAGCAATCTGGGGCCAGTGAGATGGCTCACTAGGTAAAGGCACCTACCACCAAGTCTACCAACGCATAGCAAATACCTGAGTCCTACACAGGAGGAGAGACTGACACACAAGTTGTACTCCAACCTCCACAAGTGCAACAGAGCATACATATGTATATATATATTATAATAATGTAAACATTTTTAATTAAAAATAATATAGCCTGGAAGTGGTAGTGCATGCCATTAATCTCAGCACCCAGGAGGCAAAGGCAGCCAGATCAATGTGAGTTCAAAGCCAGCCTGGTCTACAGAGTAAGTTCTATGACGACCAACCCTACACAGAGAAACCTGTCTTGAACCACCCCCAGGACAAAAAAAAGAGTGTATCAGGACCCTGAAAGAGAAATGCCATCATGATGTCATTAACATTAACAGAACAGAGAAGACTTAATTATTTTTATTTTGTGTGTGTGTGTGTGTCTATATGGGTAAGTGTACACCCATTCAAATACTTGTGGAGGTCAGAAAAGGACATTGGATTCCCTGAAACTAGAGTTGAAGACAGCTGTGAGCCTCCACAGGGGTCCACTACAAACCAAACCTGGGTCCACTACAAGGGCTACAAATGATCTTAAACTGAGCCATCTCTTGAGACCCCCCTTCTCTTTCTTGTAGTAATGTCTTCAAATGTCAAGTTGCCCAAACCTGAAACTCATGAAACTCACAAAACATATTTTACATTACATGTAATGTAAACACAGCAAGACATAAATCCTTATAAATAGGAATCTTAGTTACTATTCTATTGCTGTGAAGAGACTCCAGGACTAAGGAAACCTATAAAAGAGAGCAGTTCATTGGGGGCTGGCTCACAGTTCCAGAGGATTAGTCCATGAATATCATGGCTGGGAGCATGGCAGTAGGTAGATAGGCCTGGTGCTAGAGCAGTAGCTGAGAGCTCACATCTGATCCACAGGCAGCAGGTAGAGAGTGAACTTAGGCCTGACTTGGACTTTTGAAACTTCAAAGCCCACCCCCAATGGCAGACCTCTTCCAACAAGGCCACACTTCCTAGTCCTTTTTAAACAGTTCACCAACTGGGAACCAAACAGTGAAATACATACCTTATTTTATAGAGGCCCTTCTTATTCAAACTACCACATTCTGACTTTGTTTTTTCTGGGCTAGGGAACTATATTAAACACAGATATGAATGGGGGAGTTTAAATTCTTTAAGTTCATTCCATAATTGGTAAACATTTGTCAATGCCACTGCATTAACAAGCTGGAGTTGGCCAGTGGGAACAGAGCCCTTTCCCCTGAGAAACTCACACAGGGGCTGGAACAAGGCCTCCTAAGAAACTGTCATTAATAGCCCACAAAGAGAAACATCCATGGATGGAATATCAGGTGCTATCATCTCTGGTCCCAATCTGGCAACTCATCAACTGAGCTTTGTCCTGCCATGGTCCCCACACACCTCCAGCCTACAGTTGTTCTTGCCTGTACTGACATCAGCCTTCTTCCATGTCTTCCTGCCTTATACTGGTCCACTCTCTCTTCATCTCATAGCCACTGCAAGTGGGTTTTCTAAGTCTTAAACCTGTCCCCACCTCAGGGAGCTCCACAACATTTACCACCCAGGCTCAACTCTCCCGGCACTCAGAACTGCAATGGTCATTATCCAAAGCAGAGGTTTTCAACCTACTTAATGCTGTGACCCGTAGACACAGTTCCTCATGTTGGGGTGACACCCAACCATAAGATAATTTTCTTCGCTACAATGTAACTGTAATTTTGCTATCATTAGGAATCAAACTGTAAATATCTGTGTTTTCTGTTGGTCTTGGGTAACCCCTGTGAAAGGGTAACCCCTGTGAAAGGGCCGTTAGGCCCAAGGGGTGGCAACTCATATGTTGCGAACCACTGGTGCAGTTGATAGTCATATGATCAATCAGGCCACTGTGGGCAGCAAACGTCACTGTTTCCCTTCCTCTTAGAAAGACAAACCTGGCTTACAGCAGCCGGAAAGGGACTGGTTGCAGCTGTTTACGTCGGATAGGAATAGGAATAAGAGATGGACGGTGAGCTAGTTGTAAAGTAATCTGGCCTTTCCCTCCCACCTGTGTTGTGTCTGACAGATCCTGTGCCTCTTCGCAACAGTCCTGTGTATCATCGATGGCTTTTTGGTCATCAAAAACATGAGGAAGGACAAGAAAAAAGGCCCTGGGTACATAAACTAAGCCCTCCACCTCAACACCGAGGCAGGCGCTTTGCTGAAGTCACCTAACCCTTCCCGGCATTTGGCAGAAACTCGTGTCCACGTATAATCACTCCCACCAGGCCATCACGGAGCTCCCAAGCCCACCTGTATGTGACCATAAAGACAGGGCTGCTAAGTTGGCAACTCTTCTGCTTCCTCGTGTGGCCTTGTGTAAAAGTCGCGTTACACTTCCATTCCTCCACAAGGCTGCCCCAGGATGATGGGAGGGACAGGACCCCAGGGAGCTACAGCTACAACCCTGCCACTCCTTTTCAAGGAAAGCCTCTCTAGGACCAGTGGGTCTCAGCGCATGGGGCTGCGTGGAGGGTGGGAATGTCTGACCTCTGCCAGGGTGGAGGCGATCCTGCTGGTCCTCGAGATGAGGTGTGCTCGCGCTGAACAAGCATAAGCGTTGGAATTCTGCAGTCCCAGCAGTCAGTTGGGCACTGCCCTTGAACAGGTCTGAAGACACCTGGCTCTCTCTTGAGCTGGGCCTGTTCAGGGACTGCAGGCAAGGCTGGGAGGTGAGAAATTGAGAACTACTGCTCACCATGGGGGAACCTCCGCCTGCCAAGGAAGATGACCAGAAGCCCCATGAGGATGTGGGCACAAGACAGGGGTTTCGACGCTACAAGTGGGAATTCAAAGACAGCAATAGAGAATTCTGGAAAAATGGACATGCCGTGGTCAAGATAATGACTTTGGTAAGCTGAAGTGGTAGTCTAAGGGTGTCTGTGGAGGGGAGGGCCTCAGAAATCGGGAAAAGCCCTAGCAGCAGCTCAAATGTATGTATGTTTCCACACAGATCTGCATCATTGTTGGACTACAACTCTTCGAAACAGTGACCACACACCCGATTTTGATCCTACTTCTCACTATGGAAGTGTCCTTCCTCGCTTTCTTCATCTTCCTTTACTCCTTTGCCATCAACAGATACATGCCTTTTGTCTACTGGCCTATCACTGTAAGTAAAGACTGTAGGAAAGGAAGTGCCAGTCACATTCAGGCACCTGGAAAAAGACAACCTCGCCTCCACTGGTACTCAGGCTGGGAAGCTGGGTTGGAGAAGGGAAGCCAGGCAGAAAATGCTCCCCCAAAACCTAACTGTGTTGGGTCAAAGAAAGAGGGACCAAGGCTTTCCTAGCCTCAGAAATAGGGAAGGTTGTAAAACCCAGGCATTTCTGCTCACCGCTTTGCTGGTATACAGTTCATTGGAATATCATTCCAGGATTCAAAAAAGAAAATCAAATTCTGCATAAACCTGTAAGGTAAAGTGAAGCAAATGTCAAGCAAGTCCAATGCCAGGTCTCTAAGGAACATAAAGAATGCTTCCCGAGCGTGGTCCATGAGAAGCAGTCATACAATGAAGTGAGGCTGAGCTGGGTAAGTCCCTCAAGCATCCATTCCTCTGGTCCCTTATCTGCACCTCAGGGACTGCAACAATCTGTAGTGGGACTGACTACATTTAAACTTCTTGCCATCACAATTGCGGCAGTCAAGATAGGAAGGTAAGTAGGGCTGGAACCTGGAGGCAGGAGCTGATGCAGAGGCTACAGAAGACTTCTAGTTCTGTCTTGTTCCTCATGCTTTTCTCAACCTGCTCTCTTATAAAAATCAGGGCCAGAAGCCCAGGGATCGCACCACCCATAATGGACTGGGCCCTCCCCCATCAATCACTAATCAAGAAAATGCTTTACAGATGGATCTTATGGAGACATTTTTTTTTTCCATTGAGGCTCCCTCCTCTCTGATGACTAGTTCCTGTCAAATTCACACAAAACTAGCCAGCACAAGGCCTTAAGCCAAAGGCAAGCAGAGGCTTAGGAAACCAAGCCTGTATCCTGAGAATACTGCATCCATATAGAAAAATGGAGAAGGAAGACATACACCCTTTGCCAACACAAAGAAGCAAGAAACACTGATCTGTACTTGGCCTGTGGGAGTGGGGAGATAAGGGGCAGGTGTTCTTTGAGAATGGGAAAGCACTGCCTAGAGCCTAGAAAACTCATGTCTTTTGCTGACAATGTTCTAATTACATCCTCTTAACTCATAGCAGAAATAAATGCAGAACCACAGCCAAAGCATGAAGAGATTTGTGATACACTTGGTCTTTAAAAATTCTACAAAATAAAAATCAAAAGTTGGCAGACATGGTTGGTGTTTTGATAGCATATGTCTATAATCCTGACACTCAAAAGCCAAATCAGAAAGACAGAGTTTAAGGCCATCCTGGACTCATAGCAAAAATTCTGTGTCAAAAATTAAATGAATGGCAAGTCATTGGTGGCACACACCTTTAATCTTAGCACTCATGAGGCAGAGGCTGGTGGATCTCTGTGAGTTCGAGACCAGCCTGATCTACAAGAGTTAGTTCCAGGACATCCTCCAAAGCCACAGAGAAACCCTGTCTCAAAACACCCCCAAAAAAATTAAATAAATAAAACAACTTGGAAGATTAGAATCCTGAGACTCAGAGATCATAAATGAGCTGAGATGTGAGAAAATAGTCAATCCTGTTTAAATGACTGCAGACAAAAATAAGACTATAACACACAACAATGGTGGCACACAACCTTAATCCCAGCACTTGGGCAGCAGAAGCAGACAGATTTCCCAGTTATAGATAAGCCTAGACTACAGAGCCACTTCCAGGACAGCAGGGCTACTACACAGAGAAACTCTGTATCTTAAAACAACAACAAAGATTATAGAGACAGAATAAACAATTTTTAAAGTGCATAGCTTAAGGTCTATAATAGAAAATATAATTCTTGAAGTAAAAATGTGAAAAGATGAGTTAAAAAGCAGATCAGGGCCAGTGAGGTAGCACACATCTGTCATCCCATCACTTAGGAGGCTGAGTTGGAGGCTCAGGAGTTCAAGGCCAGCCCATGCTACAGAGTGAGTTTGAGGCCAGCCTGACACAAAGCAAGAGCTTCTCTACACACAAACAAAAATTGTGAGTGCATTAGAATGTCTCTAGTGAGACTGTTCCATATTTAAGAATATTTGTTACTCTTACAGAAGACCTGGGTTCAGTTACCGGCCCCCATATCAAGTGACTTTAGGCCATCTCTGACTTGATTTTCAGAGGATCTGGCCTCTTCTGGCCCCCACTCACACTAGACACACATAAGATACACATACATTCATGCGTAACATTCATACATCTAAAATAAACAGAATGAGTGAGCAGATCTGACACAACTAGAGAGAATGACTTGAAAGGTATGGGAGAATTCAGCAGAACTAGTCCTGAAAGATAAAAAGAAGAAATATGAAAGAGAAGACAAGGCACAGAAATCCATACAAGAGAATGGAGAAGAAACATTTAAAGTGATAAAGACAAAGAACTCTCTAGATTTAATGAAAGTAATATCACTAAATATGGCATAATACAGAACTCCAAAACTCTGTCTCTCCACAGTAGCAATCTTCAGAAATCTTATTTGTAAATTATAGCAACCAAGAGAATGTTTTGTTGTTGTTGTAGCTATTGGTTTGTTTGTCTTTTTGTTGGGCTTTTGAATTGTATTTGTTTTCCAAGACTGTGTCTCTCTGTGTACCCTGGCTGTCCTGGAACTCACTCTGCAGACCAGGCTAGCCTCGAACTCATAGTTCTGCCTGCCTCTGCCTTCTTAGTGCTGGAATTAAACTCATGCACCACCATTGCTGACCAAGAGAATATTGACTGAAGAAAGAAACTGCTAAATCATAGTGAGAGAACATGGGCATTTTAACTTATCAAGCAGCTAAATAATTCAGGAAAAAATCCACATCCTAAGAAATGACTGAAAATAAATGAAGCATCTGCCACCAGATGTGGTGATTCTAGTATTTGGAAGGTTGAGGCAAGGCATCAGAAATTCAAAACCAGCCTCAGTTACATAGCAAGTTTGTGGACAGGTTAGGCTATACTGTTTGTTACTGGTGGTGGTCTGTCTGGCAAGGTGTTTTTCTGTCCTTGGCCTCCTATTTAAGTCCACATCGACCACAAAGTAAGCAGTAACCTCTATACAATGTGCAACCATTGAACTGGTAGCTACATGAGTGAAGGTAATCAAGGGACCCAGTTATTGCTTGGGAATTCCTTCAGTTACTGTTTGGGACTTACTTTATGGAGTTCAAATGAGGGAGAAGTTTGGTTACAAAGGATGTAATTTGGGTGGTTCTCAATTAAAACTAAGAGTCTTACCCTTACTCATGGGGCATGTCCCTTCCCATAATACATCTGATTTTAATCATATGTAACCCCAATTATGCATAGGCATAAGATTGTGAATTAGGGAATTCTTCCTAAAAGTTCTCTTGAAGACACAGTTGTGGCTTATTGCACACACACACACACACACACACACACAGAGAGAGAGAGAGAGAGAGAGAGAGAGAGAGAGAAGTTTAGGCCAGATAAGCCTTCCTGCCTTGCATATCCCCCTCCAGAGTACTGAATAAGTTTGAGTAGAAATTGCCCAAGTCATTAAGTGGAGTAGAAACTTACTACACTAGCAGTTTGATGCAGGTGGGTGTCCTAGGTGGCTTACAGGTTATTAGGTGCATTGATCAGAGAGGATTGCATATGCATGCAACAGAGTGTTCTAGATTGCAAATGCCTTGTTAGAAGAGGGCTGTTTGGGGCTAGAGAGATGCTTCAGTGCTTAAGAGCTCTGGGTGACATTCCAGAGGACCTGGGTTCAATTCCTAACACCCACACGGCAGGCAGTTACCAGCCATCTGTAACTCTAGTTCCAAGTATCTGACACATTTTTCTTAACACCACAGGCACCAGGCACACAGGTACACAGACGTACACATAGGCGAAATATGCACCTAAAATACAATAATTTTTATAAAAAGAAAAATAGGAACATATGCATAGTGTTCCCAGGTAGCTAAACTATTCCTATGTTGCCTGCCCCAACATGATACCTTATCTCATAAGGAAATATGTCTAGTGTATACCTGAAGGAAAAACCCAACCCAAAAGAATTAAGAAAATTCTTGAGACACAAGACACTGGATATGAGAATGTAGCTGTTGGTAGAGTGCTTGCCTAGCATGTGCAAAGTTCTGTGTTTGATCCTAAGCACTGCATAAACTGGCTGTAGTTGTGTATTTCTATAATCACAGTACTCATAAGGGGAAGCAGGAAGATCAAAATTCAAGACCATCGTTGTCTACACAATGATTTTCAGGCTGTCAGTGGATATGTGATACCCTATCTTAAACAAAACAATAAACAAAAACAAAACAACAGATAAGCCTAAAATTGATAATAGAGGAAACAAAGATCAACAGTGAGAATTAAGAAAATAAAAAATTCCAGATGTGGTGGCCCACACCTTTAATTCGAGAACTCAAGAGGTAAAGGCAAATGGATCAACCTGGCCTCCATAGTGAGTCCAAGGACTCACCATGTTATATAGAAAGACACTGTCAAAAAAGAAGGAAGAGGACAAGGAAGAAGAGGAGGAGGTGGAGGAGGAGGAGGAGGAGGAGGAAGAGGAGGTGGAGGAGGAGGTGGAGGAAGAAGAGATCAAAAATCATTTTCCTTGTGGGGAGAAAACACACAACACATAAAAAGGAAAAACCAAAGAAAATAGTGCAAATATTAAAATAAAGAGTTTTAGAAGATCCTAGGGAAACATGAACTTTAATGCTAAATTCAGGGAAGTTAAAATGAAATTATGAGGAAAATATTTTTTAAAGTTCAAATGATAAGAAAGGTGAATAAGTACACAGATGGATGTCTTGTCTGCTCACACCATTTGGTAACTTTATTATTTGTTGCATTTAAGACATTTTATCCGTTTGAGTGACTTGGGGGTGCACTGTGAAGCAAAGCTTCTGCCTCATTATCGTAGTCATTAATTAAATAATTTTCAATACCATAACCCTGTTTATTGTTTTATTGATTAGCTCATTTTTGCACTCATTTGAAATGGCATCTTTGTTATCAAATCTAAAAAGTCCCATATGTAAAATTCATTTCTAATCTTTACATTCCATTCCACTGCTCTCGTTTTCCATTTTCTGTCTGTTTTAAAGTTGTATAATATTTGCTGATAGGATTTCCATCTTGAAATCAAATGTTAGAATAAGAATGAATGTGGGCAGTATTGACACATGCCTTTCATCCTAGCACTCAGGAGGCAGAAGCAGTTGGATCTTTATGACTTTGATCCTAGCTGTGTCTACAGAGTGACTTCCATGACAGCCAAGGGTACACAGACAAATCCTGTCATGAAAAATAATTACAACAACAACAACAAAGAATAAGCATAGGCCTTCCTTACTTTGAAAATATGGACTAGGCCAGGCTGTGGTAGTCAATGCCTGTAATCCCAGCACTTGGGAGGCAGGGGAGGAGGACCTCTGAGAGTTCGAGGCCAGCTTGAATTCCAGGACAGCCAGAGTTACACACAGAGACACCCTGTCTTGAAAATCAAGAAAAAAGAAGACAAAGGAAATAGAGGCTAAATTGTTCAATAAAATATTAGCACACCAAATAAGGCAATGTATTAGAAGCAATGTATCACAGTGAAGCAGCATCTATGTCAGGAATACAAATATGTTTTTTGTCTTCAAAGTCTAGCAGTTTTACTCTATTGTATTACAGCAAAAAAAATATATAGGTTGCAGAAAACTATTTGGCAATGATAAACACTAATTAAAAATTTTAAGAAACTAGACATAAAGCACCCATTCAGTTTTAATCAGAAGTATCTAACTAAGTCTTCAACAAACATTGTACTTTTTGGTGAACCCTTTATTTAGAAATTCTGCTCATTCTTGCATCTTTTTTAAAGATTTGTTTATTGATTATGTATACAATGTTCTGCCTCCATGCCAGAAGAGAGCACCAAATCACATTATAGATGTTTGTGAGCCACCATGTGTTTGCTGGGAATTGAACTCGGGACCTCCAGAAGAGCGGTCAGTGCTCTTAACCTCAGAGCCATCTCTCCAGCTCCTTCTTGCATCTTTTAAGCTGAAATCTGAGTAAAATGTGACAAGAAAACCCAGGCGTGTACAGATTGGGATGGGGAAACAAGGATTGCTCCTATGTAACATGAGCCTCCTCACAGAAAATGCAGAAGATTCTGCAGCCACCATAGGACAGAATGAGTGATTAAGGTTCCCAGAGAGC